ATCCATCCATCCATCCATCCATCCATCCATCCATCCATCCATCCATCACGTCGTTGTTCATCAAGATCTGACCTGAAAATTGTTCCAAAAGCAACCTCTGTAGCGGGACCTCCCAAAACTCGCGAAACCTTCTATCGCAAAACTTGAGCCGCCGTACTCTTAACATGAGTGCGAACGTCGCCCAGGTTCGGCCTGAAGAAAGCCTTTGCCATGTCGTGGCCGGAGCCCGAGATGAACAAAGCCGGGCATCGCGGAACTAGTTGGGCCACGACCTGCATAGCTGACCTGCATAGCCTGCATATATGATGTACATAGCTTGAGTTGCAGCTCCCACATGTTGGGTGCATGTGTTTACTGAGATCCGACTGCATCCGTAGATCCCTCTCCGTCCCTCAGGTGATCGGCTATGGCGCACAAAGCGAGGCCCCCACACCGGAGGATCTGCCCAGCAGCGCGGTGCTGCGGCCTGGTGATGAGATGCTTGGAGATGTCAGACGTGTGACATGTGCCTGAACATGAAGGTGGGTGCAATTGATGAGTGATGACGTGGTTTAAGAGTAAAATAATATATTACACATATGTGTAAAAAATACCTTGCCAGCCGGAACCCTAACTTTTCCTCGGGTATGCGGACAAACCCGGTATATTCTTGTAAAATGGGAAAAACCTCGGGTTTCCCGGTAAAACCCCGGGTGTTCTCTCAATCTGCCTGCTGAGGTAAAGTTGATTGTATTCCTTTGCATGCTGAACAATCCGTGCTGAGCCCGTGATTTACCCATGCCAACCCATGATTTCCTGGAAAACAAACACCAGTTCTTTTGAAACACCCAATCTGTTCAAACCCCTGATTTACCCGTGAACCCGTGAACAAAAACCACGGGTTTGGAGGTCAGATGTCGAACGAGTTTTGGGTGCCAATAGAAACAAATCTTCTGAACTGACACCCGTATTCTCGATACTCAAGCAAGAAACTGCCACATCAGTATGCACGTGCTGAAATCCAAAAAAACACGATCGCAACGCAAACCCCCGGGCTGCCAGTGAAAACCCCGGGGTATTTTGGAGAACCCCAGGTTTTCTTTGGGGTCTTGGCAGAGGTATATATTATGACTTTGCAGTGCGCGACTTCCGGAACCTCCAAGGATCATCATACATCGGAACCTGCAAGGGTCATAACACTTTGCGCGACTTCCAGGGCCTACAGCATAAATACTTAAACTGCAGCATCAATAAATAAATTCTCTCTTTTCATGATTCATTCCATTAATTATCTTTGCCCTTTTTTTTGGCCAACCTATAGATTAAAATAAATGGAATGAATCTTATTAATAATTCTCTTACATTTATCTTTGCTATTTGCCATTGGCATGCTATTAATATAAATTTCTTAATCTCTAGATTATAATGCCAATGGCAATTTATGGCTTGTTATTATTAATAAAAATCTCTGCTAATAAAGAACAAACAATCTATATTAATATATAGATGATAATGCCAATTAATTATTCATGATTCCTTAATTTAATTAATTGGCAGGGATTTTTCATTCATATCTTATTATTATTATTATCCGGCCCCTTTATAATTAAGAGATATATGTGGGCCGGTTATTTTATTCATTGATTATAACGTTCATTCATATTAAAATAGAGAAGAGAGAAAATTAATGAATGAATTAATATGATGGGATTTCTCCATAAGATATTTTATAATATGAAATCCCATCATGAAAAGTAAAAGATGAATTATATATTGGCAAAATGCTTTATAAAACTATATCTTGTCAATTGCATTTTGCCTATCTTTCATTTAATATCTTTATCTTTGGGGTTTTTCCAATATTAAAATAGCTTATAGGAAAAACCCTTAAAAGAGAGAATGAATATAATGACATGGCAGGTTTTCTATTCATTCTATTTCTTTTATAAAGAAAAAACTGCCAATGAATGAAGAGATTATAATGCCCATCATTTATTTGTCTTTTCTTTTCTTTTATACAAATGATGGGCATCAAGAACTAATAATAATGTGGCCTAATGATATTTCTCTTTTAATTCAATAGGCCACATATCTTTTATTATGTTTGTTAACTTGGGCGATTTGCGGAGCCTCCCAGGATCGGCTTCTCTGCGCCACATGAGCGGCCCTTTCTGCGTGCAGGCGCATGCCGCGCAGGGGAGGTGCAAAGGTGGCGAGCTGATGCTGGTGCGCAGGCATGGTTGATCAGCAGTGTTGGAAGCTTTGATCACACCATTGCTTCCAAGGATTGTGGTCCTCCATCATCCAAACTTTCTTTCAAAGCAACCTGAAATCCACCAACTGTCACTTCCTTTCTGTCCAACCAACCTCTCTGCTTCGCGATGCATGCCGAGGTCCTAAAACTGTGCAACTGGTGCTGTCGATGACGGACCAGCCCGTCCACGGAGCGGCGCTGCGGAGCGGAGCGGAGCGGTGAAGAGGGCGATCCACATCCACCAGGTGAATCTGCCGTTTCTGTGAGCGCAAGGCAGAGTCTATTTGAATTGGACAGCTACGTGAAACAGAGTCTGTTGGACCGGGGAGGCTGGTGCTAGACAGGGCCGCACGATCAGCGCAACTGTCTGTGGTGAGTCCGACTGACCTTGTGGTGCGTGCTCCCGTGCGGCTGACTGACCTGCACTGAGTCATGTTTCCAGCAGTGCGTCCACCGAACAAAGGCTCGCGCTGAAACCGCGCGCCGTCCCCGAACAAAGAGGTGCGATCGTTGTTCACCGATCGGTCGCTCCTGTAGGTCGTCTGAAGTTCAGCGACGAACATGCTATGGCGCATACAATATCATATTTTGCTTGGAGATGCAAGAGCATTTTGGCTGGCTGGGAAGTGAAGCTTTGGATCAAAAATGGTCAGGGCCAGCTGGGCCCTCCGAAAGGTTGCAGATTTGCTTTTGGAATCGCACACACGGCCGCATATCTCCCTTAACCCTAGATGTCATGGCCCTGTGTTTTTTGCTTGTCGATGCTTTCGTTTGACCAGAGAGCTTCCCTCTTAGGAACACCTCCCAAATTTGGACTCAACTGCTTTGACCACAGCCTTCGCCCACCTCACAAGTTAGCGGCGCCTTGTCCTCGCGCCATCTGAGGCCTCACGCGAGATGATGCGAAACATCAAGAGCGCCGAAGCACGTCCGGACGCCTGAATGTGGCAGGGAAGTCCTTGCCGGATTCAATTGCTGGTTCAACTCTTCGTTGACGCATGGTTTCAGGACATATCTACAATGCTGCGGGCATGACTTATGTACATCTCTGCAGAATGACCTTCAAAAGATTCAAAAGGTTGTCGTGGTTTAAACAGGAGAGGGATGCAAAAAGCATCGCAAAAGCTCGCAACAACAACACAGGTCGTGGTAAACGATCGCGCATGAATGAACGATCGTTGCGGGCACAGGAGGCACGTCACATCGACTGAACCGTCGGGTGCTGTGACGATTCGAGGCTTGGACGCCTTGCAGCAGACCCAAGAGAAGACCGCCGCGGCCTGGGGATCCAAGGGACGAAAGGAAAGACGTACCCGGACGCTGGACGGTTGGTTGAAGAGTGAACAGAAAGGCCTGGTTTTCTAGAGGGAATTCATAGGGTGGTGTGTATTTGAATACTGTATATATTTGGAGAGATATCCAACCAATTGGTTTTTGAGCGAGGGAGATCCCTTCTTCCAGGGAGTCGTTGCCTGGGAGGTCTCCCTATTTAAGTTGCACACCCATATGTTGACGTGTATTGTGTTGCCGGTGAGTGAGGTTCATATATGGGTCCTTCACAGTGAAACCCTGCAAACCGACCCCCTAGAACTGACAATTGCAGATGGATGGACTGTTTGCGTGTCTGGGAGTTTCATGCCAAAGGCATCGTTGGCTGATGCCTTTGCAACCTCAGCTTTGAGCATCTTTGTGCCATTCCTCGTCTATCTACATGGTCAAGTCATGGACCAATAGACCAATCATATAGTAGCAATTAACCCAGGCTTAGCATCAGGGACCTTCAACTTGGTTGGGTGATGTTGGGTGTATGATGTATGTATATATCAATTTATTTAACGTCTTTTTAATTTTATGTATGCTTTTTACATCGGACCGGCCCAGTCTATGAGAGAATCTCCCAGAGACCATGAAATCTTGGGACACACCATCTTGAGAAGCGAAGTGTACCTTCCAACATCACGGAGAACAGGCAGAAAACATGCCACAAAGCACACACATTTGTTCTATTTCTTAAAGCCACAACATACCACGCATCTTAAAAGCCTCCAAGCATCAGGGGTCGAAACCCTTTGCTTCACCGGAGACCCGCAAAGCAAGGTTCTGAACACTGAAGTCTCTGGGCTCTCGGACAAGGCGCGCCGAAGCTCCGCTCCGCTTAAGAGCGCGGTGGAAGCTCCGCTGCGCGCGGTGGAGCGCCGTGCAGGTCGAGAGCTTGCAGACCTTTGCGAAGACCTTGGCGAAGCAGAATGACTTGGAGATCCTGGAAGATCGGATGCAGAAGGCCTTGGGTTTGATGCTTTTGCCGAGTCCCAACAAAGAACTTTCTAGGGAGAACAGGCAGAAGGGCTCTGAAGGAAAGATAAGGAAAGGCTCTGAAGTGATTGGTTGGGACCAAGTGTGTTCAATCGTGTTCTGGGAGCCACATGTTGCCGGCTGCAGAACCTGCAGGGTCTTCTCGCCTCACGCCTGATGCGCCCTCGAGAGATCCAATCTTCTCGTGGTCGCGGCCCCTCTGATCACCTGCCTTTTCTAAGGGATTTTCATCCACTGAGAAGAAACTCTCGGCGGCGAACAACCACCCACCACTCTCTCTCATGTGGCCCTTCTCCCGGGGGCCTGGCGGGGGGGGAGTTGGAACCAGAAGGGCCGAGTGTCTTTGTGGGAGTCCGTCTACCGGCCGACACACGAAAGTGGCGCCGGGACACACGCAACACGCAGACTGAAACCTCCCTGCGGGCCATGAACGAGGAGGTGTGTCGGACACTCAATGCTGCAGGACCACTCGACAGTGAGAAAGAGACGTTCTTTTTGCTTTGGTTGGTGAAGCGCCCAAGAGAAGAGGAAGATGTTAGGCAACCACAGCTACATTTCAAAGATGAAGGGTGTTTTCATTTTTTCTATGAAATACTAATTTTTGTGGAATGTGTGTTATTTCAAATCGTTCATTATTATAGTTAGATACAATTAGTATCCATCAATATGTTTTTGTTCCGTCCGCTGAGTCAGGTTTAAAGCAGTCAAACTGGAGAGAGGATTGCATTACCAACCTGCAAGCCGTTCTTTCAGAATAAACATTCCCTGGAAGGCAAAGTGAAAAGATTCAGTGAACCTCATCAGCGTGTGACCTTTTTGCGGGGGGGGTTCGTGGTAAGGAACTGGTACTCGCCAAGGCCTGACTTAGAAACCCAACAGATGTGTGCTGACCATCACCCACCAAGAAAATGCAACAATCAGGGACACCTTCCCGTCCACCCGTCCAAAGCTGTTTTTGAGTGCAAGCAAACCGTGGTACACTCCGAATGTGTAGATGGAAGACTTCTTCTCCAAGGTCATGTATTGTACATAGTAATAGACATGTGTCGTTCGTCTCCACAAAAAAAAAGGCCTCGTTCGTCTCCGAGCCGATCAGCAACGCCCAGGTCGAAAAGCCGCGGCCCGGAGCCTGTCATCGGTCGACGGGGAGAGTGCCAGTCATGAGTGAGCGGAGAACGGATGTTGGAGAGAGGATGGACGGAGAAATGGGTCGTAAAGCCATCAGGAAATGGGTCAGCAATACCCTGAAGTGAAGGGAGAGAGGATGTCGACCGGATGAGTCCGAGCGCATATATTCATGGAGAGTCTGAAGAATTATATGTTAGATATTTTCTCACTTGAAGTGATGCTTTTCTCACCTGCCCATGATTTTTGCTGATGATCCATCTTGATCCATGCCATATTGTAAAGACGATAAATAGGGACTCCATGAAGTTTTCATATGTACATCCATTGGGGTGGTTGTTTCAGGGTATAGCTCTCGTGTTTGGGACCCAAAACCACCCGACCGATGCATAGCACGAACGCCCGAGGCCACCGCGATGAAGTCGCTGTCGGACCGCGTGACTGAGATGGGCATGGAGGCCACTGACCCGAAAGGATGGAGGTTTGAAAGGTTTCAGGATTCCATATTTCCATGGTGGCAGTTCGAGTTGAAAGGACATCTAGTTTCCTGGGAGGAATTTAGGATGTTGTGCCCAACTGGTGCGTGTTTCGCATGCGACACCAACACAGTTTAGAATGATGCTTAGATGGATTCCAAGCGCAGGGTCTGGTGTTCAGTTCAACAATTGACAGGGACCTCCAAGCCCAGCCTTCTGATATATTTAGCGGGCAACCCCAAGAAACGTCGCAAGTTGCAAAAGCAACAACCTTTTGACTGACCCCGTTGCACCGGAGTCTTTGTGTTTAAGCTCTTCTTTCACTTTTCATGAATTACTTACTCATTGTGCACGAACAAGTTCTTCTTTGTGAAGACACTCGGTGTGAAGAGCCTATCGTACGAAGTCCCTTCTTCACTCTACGTGAACAAGCTGCTCTTTGTGACATCAATGATTGAATTGGATTGGGGCTTCTCGCTGTTGACTCTATCTATGACCCTTTTGTTTCCTTGGAAACTTATGAATCCTTTTGTGAGCCTCGTATTTACTTCATTATTTATTTATACAGGGTTCTACATGTTGCACCCTTCAAATAAACAGGGTAGGCAATGGCCACTTGTTTCACCCAGATAAAGGTGGCTTTGACCCCTAAAAGTCTAATTACTGTAGATTCTAGATCGAGTCCAATGTTGCAGTTCTCGCCATGCCGTGTGCGGATTGTTCTGCTTTTCAGGCTCATACACAAAACACCCGGATTAGCATGGCCTTGGATGAGCACAAAGGTCACATCGGCCCATGCCTCAAATCTGACGTCTCGTTGTTTGGGCAACGGATCTTTCGCACTGTACATCGTGCAGAAGGAAGCGTCCGGATCGTCGCTAGTAGGTTGGAGGCTGGAGGCCATCGCTCTTAGGTATTCGAACCATCTGGGGACCGACACACTGAGGAGCTCTTCAGAAGGAGGCGTCCAAGCTGGACCGTCAACATGAATTGGAACGCCGCAGCCTCAAGACCGACTCCAACCCCCCACTAGTAGACCGTTCGCTGGTAACCAGTAGTGACCTACAGACTAAAACCCTGGTTCATTATATATTGGTAACTGGGTTCCACTCGACAGCATCTTCACCAGTCCACCATGTAGCGAGCATGCAAAAGACCAAACGTATACGGGCGTACGGACACTTTTTTGGATGGGCTGGGTTTGGGGGGGGATGTGGGGGGATGTGCATGCTCATGCTGGCAACGGTGGAATCGAGGCTGCTTCAAAAGGTACCATCTGGGTTTGAGCATGCAATGGTGTTGTCTTTTGCATCGGAGACTTAAATTTCAGAAGGGGCACTCCTAGGGCTGCGAAGATACCCTTGTAATTGTATGTTGCATTATATACATGCTGCATGTCCATGTGACAAATCCCCAGTCAATAACATATGCTTCATCACTTTCATCTGCTGCCCGCTTCAAACATGTGGTATCACCTGTATCTACTTCCCATGGGAAAAAACCTAAAGCATCCAACCAAACAAAGTAATCCAAGAATAACAAAACACACACACAAAACCCCAAAAGAACAACATCGAACCAAGACACGTAAAACATCGTAAAACATAAACAGGCAATATTCTGATACTCTTTGCTGGCAGACAAGACACTTCTGGAATAGTGTGTTCTTCTGGAATAGTGTGTTCTTTTGGTTTTCTGACTCTTGGATGTCACCCACCCCCCCGAAGTCTCCTAGAAACTTGGGATCTGACCTGAAGCCTAAGTCTTGGAAGTCTGCATGTGTAAAACCCTATTTATTACATGTGCTTTCCTATGACTATTGCTTTCCTTTTATAAAACTCCTTTTGATGTTCTTTTGATTCTTGTTGATTTCCTTTTAACCACCTTTTGATTGCTGTTTTCTTTAGAAGTCCTTTTGATTCCACTTGATGTCCTTTCAGATTTCTTTTGATTCCTTTTGATATCCTTTTAAATACCTTTTGATTCTTGTTGATTCTCTTTTAAATACCTTTTGCTGTTTAATTGATGTCCTTATGTTCCCTGAGATGTTCTTTGAAATTCATGTTGATTCCTCTAGCTTGCCCTTTGAATTCTTTTAGTTGATTTCTTTTGGATCCCTTAGTTTGTCTTTTCAACTTATTGCAAACATCTATTCCACAAAAGGGGTAGCCCAGTACACTAGAAATCTTTCATATAACCCTCTACAATATTGTATCCCTTTTGGCTTGAATAATAGCATACCCTGGATTGTTGTCTACGCGTTTCCATGTTTTAACAAGATTACACCCTCAAATATTACACTTTATGCGTTGGTACCACTTTCAATAATGACATCCCCTGCAATAATGTCTGCACCTTTCATTCTTCTTTAAAACTATATTGAACTCCCTGCTTTTAAGTCCTAATTATCCAACTGAATTGTTAATTCCCTTTGAATTCCTTTTGATTTTGAGCCTATAGCCTATTGTATGCAAGAAACACTGTAAAATACGATGTGTTTAAGCATTTGCAAGGCAAATCTTACAGCCCTACCAACGCCCTCTCTAATTTTAAATGGAATGGAGCTTGTGGTTCTTAAACCAATAAAACCGAGTGACATGCTTGCATTAAGTCAGCTAAGTGGGACTGTTGGAAAGCCACACCAGTGGTTGGAGAACCAACTATCAACTACAGGTCATTCCGTGCCCCACATGATGTGCTTGAGAAAAACATCCCATGTTTGCTCAAAGTGGGGCGGTTCGGAGGTTGTACTTCGTGTTTTCTTCCACTCTTTCCCCTTTTTCCACTCATTTGAAGTTGTACTCATCTCGACTTCGATGCTTTTGGTACCCCGGCACCGCTGGTCTCATCTTCGGCGTCCTTTCTTTGAGGCTCTCGGGTGTCGAACTGCATCGTGGCCTTGGAGAAGGCGGAAGAGCTCGGAATCTGGCTTTTCGGGAGAACCTTTGAGGTGTACCAGCAAGAACTACAGTGCTTGTTTGTTCATATATTCTAGATTCTAGTGATCTGGCCAAACGATTTTTCTAAGGGATAGACGTCCAAAGGGTGCAACATTGGCCTCCAACTGGTGGCGGACCGCTGCGACGTTCGTTTTCGACCAAGACAGACCGAGACAATGACGTCGCAGCGTCCAGCGTTGATTCGACGACTCTTCGGGCGACTCTTCGGGCGTTGGACGATTCTTCGATCCGCATGGAGAGCTACTGTGCAATTCTGAAGTCAGAAGCACAGACACACACCACATTGATAGGCACAAACACACAAAGCTAAGAATGCCTACTTTTCCTTATGTTTGACACCTCAGCCACAGAAGTTGGCGTGCCGGACCATGTTTGGCACAGTGAGTAGGGCTTTGCAAGCTTTTGTGCTCCTGCATGAGCTTTCCACACTTCAAACTTCTCACCAAACACCCTCAGCTTATTCCAGCTTCAAGCCGCCACCCTCAGCTTCACCAGACGGAGTGTTTCTTCACGGCCGCTTCGGCCGAAGCGAACCGGGGGTTGAACTGGGGCTGGGTTCAGGGGCCACGGCGGGATGGTGAAAACGAAGTTCCAACGTCAAGGGACCTATGCGCCGCAAGAGTTGGAGATCCTTCATGCCATCGATGAGCGCTTTGAAGAGTTGGAAGAGACCATCATCTTGGCCTCCTTGGTACCCCAGCTTCATGAGCGACTCTTTGCAGTTGAGCAGCTGCTGAATTTGAAGAAGGACCAGATCTCTTCTTCATCCTCTTCCGGCTCCAAACTGGACACCTCGAGTAAGCTCGCGGACAAGCTGCAGAAAGTGCCCAGTGCAAGCCCCTTGAATGCCCCCCCGCTTGGGCGCGCAGGCGCCCAGTCCGGCGCGGAAAGCAGCACCAGACGAGGAGGAAACTGTGGATGATGAGGGGAACATAATTATGGTGGAGTCTCGAAGTGTTTCATTTGATGCTTTGTTGGAGTGCTTCTCAACTACAAACACGAAGCAAAGTAATTGAACATATTACAAGTCGATCTACCCGCACTCCAGAATGATTATGGGAGTGCGCTGCATGTGTGCCTCTCAATAGGCCCAAATATCTCAAATCAACATTCCTAAGCTTTGACACATCTTCGGAGCCGAGGAGTTGGAGCCACCTCCGCTGCCCGTCTCAGTCTCTTCTCGCGTCAGCGTCGAGGACTTGGCCGCCCTGTCGCCCCTGCAGCGCCGCGAAGTGAAGAAGATGACCGAGATCTCCCGGGACAAGGTCTCCGTGATCGATGAGAAGACCTTAGATACCCAGACCAATGAATCTCGGTCTAGACTGAGGTGAATTTCCGGTTTTGGGCTGTGCCGAGGTGCCTTCCGAGGTTTCTTTCTGAAGATGGTTTGAAGTTTGTTGCGGTATGTTGATGTCTACCAGCTGGAGCCTGGGAATGGGACCGAAAGAATGGCACGATTTTCGGTCTACCTTTCAACAACAGGTTTTCTACCTGCTCCCTTCTGGTCTGTGGGAATAGTTGGAGCGTACAGCCCTTATTAAGACAATGCATTTGAAGGGACTTCTGCATTTCCATGTCCAGTGTGACCTCAAAAGATGTCCAAACGCTCCAGTTCTTCGTTCGCCGCACCGCACCGCATATGCGGAGCATGCAGTTCGTGCGGAGGAATACTACACCTTTGGGGAGTCCACTTGGGATCTGGTGATCTTCATCGGTACCGGAGCGCTGGGACCCCTGGGTTCTTTTCAGACCTTCTTATTGGCGGTGGTGAATGTCCTCATGCAAGCGCCTCGCTTTTGGGGGGCCTAGTGACTGGTGAACACGCCGGGAGTCTTGCGCTGGAAAAAGGAATGGTCCAACCATGTCCCACCCGATTCCGATTCCGATGAAAAAGCGTGCCACCGGCTTTGGGGTGTTTCGTGTTATTTTCGAGGGGTGATGTGTATATGCATGCGTAATCATGCGTATGTATCTCTTTCTCTTTTGGACTGACATAGGCTATAGACGTCATTGTTTGGTGTGTTGATTGTTTCGTTCTTGATTTGAACTTGTTGTAAGTCTCCTTCATCTTCCGCCACACCAAGCACCACCGCCACACTCCGCTAGATCGACGTAACAACGTCTACATGTCGGACAGGAGTGGGCCTTGGGAGCCCATCGGGCTGAGGAAACCCCTGTTGGACACTGACAGAACAGGGGAGGTTGATTCAGGGGTAGGCTGGGATGATCCGGGAAACAGTGGAGGGTGGCCACCATCTGATCCATGAATTAGGAAATCTTCAGGATGATTTGGCCATGGACACCAGTACACTCAAAATACATCCATGTGATTCTATGCATACCACCCCCAAGTGTCCACTCCCATTCCTTCACCCAAAACAGTCTCACTTCGAAGCTCCAGACTCGCTGGGGCCGGCCGTTTCGGCAGCCATGGTTCTTCGAATGAGCGGTGGCCATCCCAGCCGGGACCCGTGGGTGTTCCACCGAGGTCGTCTTTGTGGCCATCGCGGCGTACAATTTCACCTCTCCGGATGTCGATGAAGAGGCCATCCTTGCCTCCCTGAGGCGGAAAACACGGAGTCTTCGCCGTCGTCGTCCCAAAAAAAAGCACTTCTGTTAGCCATCATAGTCATAGTTTGTTTTTTGGGAGAGGGGGGAGGATTGGGACCATCTGAAAGGATCTGAAAGGATGTTTTTTTGCAGGTGTCAGGTTGAACTGTGCCTTCCGGCTTAGGTTCCAGGTCCAAGCTTCGTGGAGGAAGCTCCAGGTGTACCTGGAAGTAGACCCCGCTCTGTCCCACTTGACCCATCCGATCCTCAGCGACATGCGAACTACAACGACAAAAGGCAATTATCGGATTGTTTTTTAAGGGGGTCTTTTGACTGACTGGAACATCATCCATCGCACCGAGCTTGTTTCTTCCCGTGCAGGTGGCGAAGGTCCTCGGGCCATTCCTTCGCAGATTATAGCGCTGTGGCAAAGGAATCCTTGGTGCACCGTGGCTGGGCTGAAGATGGTGCGGCAAGACTCGATACCGAAGACTCGCAAATTCACGAATAATGGGATATACCACTATAATCTGAGGTCCTGAGGCTCGTGATCAGTGCAGGAAGGACATAAGAGGTAGCCTAGATGTGCATCATAGACATGGGTGATTTGCGTTGAATTGGCCCAAGTCGGGAATCACTTCTTGACCAGGCTCCTTTGAGCCTTTCAGATGCCCAGGATGGACCGTTCACAGTGTTTTGTTCTTATTGTTTGTTCGATGCGCCAAAGCGCGCCACGGTACCGGTCGACCAACGATGCAGGCAAAACCATCTTCCATGTTAGGACCGTCCTCCTCGCTGCGCTCGAGGAGTGTGCAAGATCGATAAATCCTTAGAGTCCTCTGGAATCCAAGTGGCTCTCATGGAGCGCCTCGCTGTTGGGGTTTGTGAAGCGATCTCCGGTCTCGAACCTGGGGCGGTTGGGTGGGAATGTCCGCGATGTTCCGCGTTGGTCTCGCTTGCCTTGGGAAGGAAAGGGGCCCACTGTCAGTTGCAATAAGGAAAAGAGTTCAGCTTGTCTCATCGTCAATGAAGCTTTGGATCCAAAGTTGGTCACCGACGAACACATAGAATTGGAATTCATTTTAGTTGTGCGGCGGACCATGTGTTTCAGAGATGTCTCTTGTGGGGATGGGCAGGGCATCAACACAACATCATAACAGGATCAATAAAGGTAATCCTGAGTAGGTCCCCTAGTCCATCCTAGGCTCCTAGGCCTATAGTCCATTGGTCCTCGTGGTCCATTGATCAAAAAGCGAGAGATTTGCATGTTGCGCCAATTCTGCAAAAAAACAGAGCTACAAGGACGCTACGAACGGGCCTCCTGGCATCGCTACTAGGAACAAGGACGTACGAACGGAGCAAAGGACATCGCTAGTTTTTCTTGCTCTTAAAGAAGGTGCTGGGCTCTCCCTGGTTGCCTTGGTCCAAAGATGTCACTTTCTCGAGTCTTCTTGTCCGATGCTGGCGTCCGTTATGTCCGGGGTCACATGACATGGTCCTACTATGTCCTACTCGTTTCCAAGCAAGCTTTTGTAGCTTTCTGTGTGCTCATGAGGGGGCGCTGCCACGAAACCTTCTTTTGTATCAGTGGTTTTGTGGGCTTCTTTGGTTTTCTATGCGTCCTACCAGGGTGGAGGTAGAATTTAGAACAGACCTGGCAAATCCTGTTGTGGCCCCACCTCAACGTGAAATTTACAAGAGACCTTACACAGCCATTTGTGGGGTGAGGTCTTGAAGCAAGCACACATGAATACACACATGAGCTATCCCAGCCACACGCATCTGTTTGTGGGCCAACCAAGAATAAACAATTAGGGCAGGAACAAACCATTCCAACCATACACACGCCCAGCCTTTCAGAACCACCCGGCCATAAAAGCACGCCTTTCATATCTTGCACACGCATCTGTTTGCGGCCAACCCAGGAGAAAAGAACGCATTTGGCAAAGCAGACCCACATGGCTATTTTTGTAAGATGGGCGGTCAGGAGCCATTCCAACCGAAAACACCCATTTATGGGCCATGGATGGAGGCCATAAAAATACACACCTGTATGTGCATCAAGCGAGAGCCCGTCAGACGTTGCCCTTTTGTGGCCACAAACCTGACACCCCAACGACCTCGGGTGCCCTGAGAGCTGTAAATACCAGCAGTTCAGTTTGTGTGATCCGTATTCGTCGTATTTTGATCCCCTATAGTTCCATTCAGTTCCTAAACATTAACAGGTTGATCCGTTTGAGTTTGTTTGATCCCTGTCCCTTTTTAAAGCATTATGCGAACGTCTTCATGTCAACTAGCATCACAAGACGCACACGTGTTTTGCTTTCTTCAAGACATAGGGGACCCGTTGCGGAAGTTGAACGTATTTCGAGGCCGGCTTTAAACCTGTTCCCAACTGAGGGATATCAACAAGTACCTGAAGTCCGACGCAGCGGGCATGGAAGGCTTCTTCACAGGCCAAATCCTCTGCATTGTGGCGCTGGTTTGTTGGTATTTGATGGTGGCAAAGGAGGCTTCCAAGCTTTCAAAATCGGGACTTGTTGGGACACTGTCGCTGGCGCAGCGCCTGGCCGAACCATCTCAGGTGTTTGAACCACTATTTTTTCTTGAATTCTTGTCATTGTTGGAGGACTGACCATTTCTATATAGTTCTATATTACTGTATGTCCACAACAGTTTAATGCCTGAACTCCTGAACCACTTTGACCAAATCGAATACGATGTGTCCACGATGTGTCCACGATGTGTCTTCCGGCGGTAAAAACGACCGTGACTTAACAGAACCGCGGTAAGGAACCGCGGTATACGTACATGTGACCCCCATCCAAATGCGAGAAAGTTATACCTAGCACTTCCAATGGGTGCCCAGTGGAGGGCCATAAGTAGGGCATGGTAGTCTATTGGACACCCATTGGATGGTCCAGGTATATACATGTTTGCGATGTTTTGCTCAAGCCGCGCAAACACTTAATTAATGATCCCAACATGAATACATGTGTCACCAAGCAGCGACTATTCTCGGGTGTGTGCATTGTGGCAAGAGAGTAGTAAGCATGAACAGTGGGACATTGAAAGATCAACTATAGGAACATATCATATCCGAACATATCTCCTCAGGATGTCATGTTTTGAAATGATCAGACGATTCGAGGGGTCACTCAGTTCAGATCACCTGACTTGGCAACCGGGCGAAACCGATGCAAACCACTCAGGTCATGCTCCGGAAGTGAGTTCGGGATAAACCCCCTTCCCCCTTGGTGGTTGTTTGTGAGGTCCTCTTCCTCTTTTCCTCTCTTTTTGTTTTTGCTCTCTTGTTCGCTTTGTCCTCCCTTTCTTCTCTCCCATTCCTCCCTGAGGTGAGTCATGCTTTGGCCTTGCACCGCGGCGTTATGGCCATGCCTCGGGGGCTTACGAAGCTGGACCAGCGGGAGAACCCCTTCACGCAGGCGAGTTCGACGGGCGCATTCCGCTTCCGGGTTGAGCTTCCACGGTTCAGTTGGCGTGGAATTGCGACCATCCACCTTTTGGGATGGTTTAGAGGTGCTCTAAGTTGATACCTACTACTTGGTATCCCAAGCATGTTTCAAACTGAGGTCAGGGATTGATGCAAAGGCCAACAGCACCTCAGGCACAGGGACCTCCAATACTAGCAGGTCAAGTCATTCGTCTTTTGCTGAGTATTGACCTTTAACACAGAAAAGATCCAGACAAAATGGGGCGAAGCAGTGCATATTTCTCCGATTGAAAAATATGTCCACCTCTACCAGCAACTAACTGCTGCAGCTTCGAGAAATTCAAGCCCCTATCCCCAGCCTGGGGCAACCCTTGTCAAGTGCTGTCTTGCTGTCCTTCTGTTCTTCTTTGGGCTCCTGGAAGCCCACACAAACAGATGCATTCGGTGAGGATTTCTGAATACCATGCAGATACACACTTAGGTCATAGGTCGGTCGAAGCTCTGCTCGGTCTACCAAAGAATAGAGACAAGTGACGTCACCAGCGCATTCCAGAAGTCCGGATCACTACTGGAACGATCTACACCAGTATTTGTGATGCCATTTCTTCGATGAATGCAGCTCAATCCTACAGACTGGCTGCCTGCCCGGGCCTGACATAGCCTGGTCAACAGGTCCATTTGAGAGAATTGTTTGCCTGGAGATGTTCGGGGGTCATCACTTGTCACAGGCTCCTGGTAATAGATCGCCTGTTCATCCGCGTCTCGTCCATTCCGGTCAGCATTGCGTTGGAAGGTGGGCCAAAGGGCTGACAGGGCAAACCGATCTCCACATCATTCTACGAGCGACCCCAATGTTCCGCCAAGGGCTGCCTTCCGTATGTTATTTTTTGCGCCACAGGTTCCTCCCGCGGTCGCTCATCACGCTGGCCCTGACACACCCGACCGTGTGACGTGTCCGCGTGCATCGTGCGCCGCGGAGGTGGTGCATTACCGGCTTCGTGCGGTGACCTTCAGCCGCAAGCTTGCCAGTGGACTGCTCTTGCTATACCGCCTGGTGGCCGCCGGGCTGCTGGTCATGGTGGGGACCTACTTTCTGGTCTACACAGTGACTGGCCGAAAGGAATGATTCGGTGGGATGAACCATTGGGTATGCCCGAGGTTTGCACCAGCTGTAGTCTGTAGTCTGTAGAGTCTGTAGTCTTTGACATGAGCCGTATAGCCGTAGAGCGGAATTCCAGATTTTACAGTTGAGCCTCCGATCTCAAAACCATGATGTCTTTGGGGCCCTCGGGAGAGCGGATTTCAGCTCCCATACACAGTTTTCCGACGCATGTTCAAACTACACCGACATAGACCCCAGATACTGACAACGCCTAAAAACATCTAAAAACAAAATGAAAACACCTGAAACTAACACATCAATAAGAACAAGAAGCTACGAACGGGGCTCCTGGCCTTACTACTAGCAACAAGGATGCTACGAACGGAGCATGTGCATCGCGACTCGAACGGAGTGGGTCCAACAAGGTCGGAATGGCTCTAGCAATGTGGTCCTCTTCGAAGTGGGGAAAGAAGTTGAACACCATTTCGGTCCCATGGAAAAACCATTTCGGAGACAAGTTAGGAGAGGCAGCAGCGTCAAACATGTCGATCACAAGCAGACAAGTGGGGAGACATGCGCGGAAACAAGGCAGCAGCGGCAGTGGTGGATCAAAACGCCGATCAGCCACCCAGTCATTCAGAATCATTGAGAATTGAGAAGTAATGAGAGAAGTAGAAAACATTTAAAGACCCTATAGCCTAGAATACCTTTCAGCTATCTGGGGAAATGTCAAAAACTTGTGCCACTAGTTAGTCCAGCCACAGATGGGGTCAGAGTGGGAGTTTGACCATCTTCCTAGCATGTTTAAACTTCCTTTTGACTTCAACTTGTTCTAAACTTCCTTTTAAAGAGAACCTGAGCCACTAGTCGGGGTCAGGATTGGATGACATGCGAGGGGTTCGAGGCTTGAGGAGAGAAGAGAGGTTTCAACAGGGGAGAGTCTGAAAGGAAAGCTCAAAGAGGTGCCATGTCTTGCTTCGCCCAGCAGCTGGCTATAACACAAGAGTCCAGATGTTCTGGGATGTGTTCTCTACGAGATGCATTATTTGCACGTCCATCATCCAAACCATCCTACCAAACCCTCAAAACACCTTCAATGTTTTTTAGCATGCAACAACTGGAGATATACAATATAATTATATATATAATATATATATATATGATTTTACAGCTCTCAACCACACTGGTTGAAAAAACAGCACACGTTAGCCTACTTCTGAGTGATTTGAGAACCCTCAACCACAGCCTTTCACTCTTCGCCGGCGACGTGTGCAACGTGGTCGTTGGACGTGTCCATCGTTGAGGCTTCAAAAGAAGGATGTTAACTTTGATTGAACAACTGTGCAACATACATATTCTGAATGGGATTCCCTTGAATTTGATCATAAATTGATCTCTTTCGGGATTTTGGTCTCCCATGTTTCGTTTTCTCCTACCGTGTTGGTGTTTCTCCAGGTGAGCGTCACAGAGCTCATTTTAAACGCCGTGGCCTTGGGGATTATCTTGGAGACTGAGCTGAGGAAGTGTTTGGGGATCTCTTTCCCCTTCGAGATGATCCCCCTTGTTCAAGACTGAAAGAATCGGCAGGCTGGAAGGTTTTTCGGGTCATATTGGAGCAAAGGTGGACGCATCCCAAAACACCTCGAACGAATGGGTACCATTGGAACATCCAGTGGGCCAAAAGGGTACCCATTCGAACAATACACGTCACGACAGAACGGGTGACACACATTGAACGCCAAAACTGAATCCCATCGCCAGAAGCCGAGGGGAAGAAAGAGACTGTTCAACTTGGTTGCTTCACTGAAGTACTCCATATGGGGGGGGAGCTGACCTTTGGGGGGGAGCTAACAACTTTTTTTTTTGGGGGGGGAGCTGACCTTTTTCAGGCACTGGGAGATCCTCGAGGACGGAGGTCCTGTTTTCTTCCACCGACATTTGTCTTCCATTCGCCACCGAAGGACATCTGTCCGCTCGCCGCGAGGGTTAACAATCACCCTGAGGACATCGATGATCTCTTGTTCGACGCCTTAGCCACGACTCCAGGGAGGCATTTGGTTCATCAACTGGATCCACTGCCCATGCCGTCCTTGCCCAGGATTCGAGGCGACAGCACCAAAAAAACCATATGCTTGTTTTGTCCAGCGCGATGCTGGGATCTCATTTGGAGATGAAGAAGATAGAACAAGGAATGTGAGCTGGAATGAGTTGACCTTAGTTGATGAAAAGGTGATAAGTCTAAGGCTGTTTGTGCTTGTCATCTTTTTGCTGAGGGATTCCTGCCAGACCAAGGGGAGTCCTTCATGGACTGTCCTTCAAGGCGATCACCCAACGGTCCGAAGAACCGCCGAGACCAAGGTGTCAGAGGATGTTGGGACATGTCCTTTTTGCTATCACTAAACCAGGCAGCTGAAGAAGCACTGATGGGATTCCTGAACAGATTTCCTGGGTATCTGGAAAGCTTTTCTTCCCCATGTTCTTCCCCCAAAAACGCCAGGGGCAGATGCCAAATCCGTCTTTATGAGCCTGGCCATTCCTGGGCTCACGCTCTTTGTTTACTTCACCATGCTGGGACCTATGGTGCAAACGCTTGAAGAGGTGAAGTCGGCCATGTGTCTCATGGCCAGACCGCCGCGCCAGACGCGAGCGCTCGACCCGCGTGAAGACCCGCGGTCAGGGAAGAAGAAGTAGTGCAGTGCACCACCAACGCAGCGGTGGCCCCTGGCCTTCAGTTCGACTATCTATAAAAGAACTGGTTCACCCGGGTTTTTCCTAGGCAAAAGCCCTTAGTGGAACACTGGTTGTTCCAATTTGCATGGCTTCTTGGATTGGGATCAAATTCTGGTCGGCTCTTGGGTTCCCGAACCTCCGTAGTCCCCGGACGTCAAGGTGGTGGAAACGTCGACTTTGTATGGACCTTGGACAAGAATCGGATCACCCGCTTATCACCCACCGTTGGTGGTGGTTGGGACGAAGAAGAAGACAGCATCAAGACGCTTAGCTGGATTTTGGGCTGGAATGGGTTTCTGATATGTTCGGTGAAAGGAACAACTAGGAATTACCAGGCGCGGAGCGGAGTCATCGAAAACACTGATCACACCCACTGAAATCCTCCATGGGTTTCCTAGGCTAGGTGGAGTCACTGAAATTCTGAAATCTCAGCCTCGGCCAATGGATGATCGGTTTGACCTTCTGCTAGTCTTTTTGGCTTGACTAGTGACAGGCAAAAACAACATACAGCCCGGATCAAAAAAAGCAGATGTTGAAAGGCTGTCACTATGATTATTTCAGACATTGTGAGTGATAGACCCAGCGTGACCCAACCACCAAATTTCTCACTCGAGTCTAAACATATCTAAAAATCCACCCCAAGCCAGGCCCATGTGGAACTTTTGAGCACCATATGATCATGTTTCCTCACCTCAGGCTGTCCCTTTGGAATGGACCTGAAACTTCTTCACCTGCCACACTCCCCCGGTCGGTCTAGACCTTTCGATCACATCGGCCCCCGCGAAAAACCCCTTCGCGGCCTCCAAGTGACTTGGTCGGCTCTTCCAGGACCAGGGCCATTGAGGAGGCCGAGAGGATTGGTTACGGCTCTTCCATCAATCAAACTCGCTTCGGCCTCTGGGAGTCCGAGGTGAGCGTTCTCAGTGACTTCGACCAGGTTTCGACCAAACCGCGTTCGTTCGATGAACGCGACGGTGACGGACGTGACGGGACGTCGTCGGTGGAGTCACGGTCACGTCGTGATGTCCCTCTGTCACCAATCCAGAGATTTCATGTCATTCGGTTCAAACTTTAAATTCAAATTCATTTTGTTGGACCGTGTTGATCAAAATGGCTTTAGTTTCCAAGAGCACATGGGAAGGATGCGACTTGTGATCACCATCAGGCCCCCCGTGCCGAGGGCCTTCCGAGCAGGGGGCCGGTCCGACGGCATCGCCCCCCCGTTCTGTTTGACCAACGTTGCATGGCAACTCGACAGGTCCCACGGTCGGCCACAGGGCCAATCTGGCCCTGCCAAGGCGATATTGCTGCCATGAGCCATCCAGAATTGGTCCAAGCGAGCAACCCTTCTTGTGGAGATTTGGCCAACCAAGAGCCTCTCTTGAACTACCTTCGCATCTTGGAGAGTGATTTCGGGCCAAGGAACGAAGGTGGAATCCATCCGTCATCCTGCAGCGACCAGCGACCGGAGCGACCCCAGCCAACCCCGGTGGGGCGAGCTCGATCATCGCCGGCCATAACGGGATCGTGTCCGGTGAGGTTCATCGGACTTGGTGGAAGTTAACAGGTTTCGTTTGTGCATCGAGTCACCAAGTGTAAGTAAATCACCGAGCTGGCCATCCGCGAAGAAACGTCCCATCGCACATCCTTCGCCTGGTGGACACAAACATACCCAAACCGTGACTTGCCTAGTTTCACAGAACCAATGGGATTTGTTCACTGCAGGGATTGTTTACTCGGCCTGTGTTAATCTTACCTCCGTTTCTCGGAGGCTCTCGTTTTCAGCCGAGTCTCAGGATATTTTCTGCAAAATGATAGTATTCAAAGCTGCGCAGATGCCTTGCCCTATTGCAATTCTGTGACGAAGATGCCTGAGTATGGCGGAGATGAGGGCACCTGGGACTTTGCGAAGACGGTGATGTACTCATATTCACATGGTCTTTGGTGATGTTCTCTCCGTGTTATAGGCTGTTCTTGCTCACCTACAGGTGCAAGAGAACATTGGAAGATGTCTTCGTTTCAACGAACGGCAGGAGGTTGGTACTGCCGGTGACACCGGGAACCCCAAAAACAGGACCGGTCGGCCGCACCACATGACACGGTGAGGTGGGAGGTGATCAAAGGTGTGGGGAGCTGAAGACATTGGAGCACCTGGAAACGCGTAGATAGAAAGATACTGTAAGTAGATAGCATAGGCATAGATATGCTGATATGCAGCACTTCTGGGCTCTCTTTCCTACTTGGAGAGCTTTTTGAAGGGCACTATGACTATGATTAGGCATTAGGCTGTTCTTTCATTCGGGAGATTGATCTTCCCTTGGTGGAGCAAAGTTGGGCTGTTGATGTCACTTGCCCCAAGAGGCACCGTTTTGCACTTGAATTCGGCTTCCTCCTTTTATTTGTTTCCATGGCAGAACACTCGTCATATAGTGGATTGAGAATAGGTGGAACATGGTGGAACAATCCCATACAATCCACCTTTTAGAAGGTGGCTTATGTGGACCCCCCCTCCAAAAGACATCATTGGGCTTGCTTTGCAGTGCTTTGTGCCTTAGCAGTCCTATTTGCGCCATCAACCCTAGCCGGTACCCTTGTCGACCGTGCATCTAAGGACGTGGCTGGGCGACGCGCTACTTATGCGCCGAGAGTTGCGGATGTCGAAACCCGGGCGGTGAAGGCATTTCTTTGCAAGGATGCCCAGCAGATGACTGTCGAGCTACCCCGGACTTCACCAGCTTCAGAGAAAGTCCCTGAGCAAGTGAAGAAGTGTTACAGTTAAAAAGCACAACTGTATGAGAAGACTTTGTGCCTTTGTGTGTATTTTGTTTTGGGCAGTGTGCTTGGTTTCTTTCGCTAGAACAATCCTCCTTCTGTCAGGCAGCGTTTGCATCGAGAAGAACGCCTCGCGTTTGCGACGTTTCGCACCGTGGGTTGCCTGGGTGGAGACAATCCGAGCCTATGGTCTCTCACCAGCCCAGTTGGATCGCCAAGCCGATGCACTCTTGATCGCCAATGCCATGTGGGAGAATGGCTGTGGATTTATGCAAAACTTGACAGATCAAAACATCTCATGGGGAAGCTGCTTTGCATGGAGTAGTACGTTCAACTGGGAGTTCAAGACGGTGGAAGCCTTTTGCCCGATCACCTGTGGCTGTTCCGAGACCCACAGAGCGTATACGGGCTGCCCGTTGCCATATGGCTTCAGCTGTGATGGCTTATGGCATTGCCTCACTTGGAATGAGCAACATTACTGCCCACCCTATGTGGAGGTCATCTACGGAGAATTCACCATGTCCTACAACTATTCACATGTCGGGGTCTTGTATCTCGGTGAGCTTGAGAAGTTCGTTTGGAAGCACTTTCTTTCAATCACATTGGAGGGTGAAACGGAAAACACGAGAAGTGGAGGACCAGAACTGGTGCCCAAACGGAGAGATATCTGGGAAGATCCCTCCAAAGAAACGACAGAGCCGGAATTTTCAAACTCACCTGGATCTTGGTATAGATCAACAATCATCAACGAATATCAAAGATCATTGGATTTGCTTCAGATGATTGGAGTGTCCCCCATGCCTGAGTCGAATTCAATTATCTTATCATTCCAAGAATGATGTGTTTGCCTCGGAACGGGATTTTGAAGACAACCTTGTGACAAATCTACAGGGACATGGCATGAAGCAATGCCACAAAAAAAGTGACTCCTGCATACCCCTGCCTGAGTGTTTCAGCGGGTGAATTTCAGTAGGTACCCAGATGTACCCAGGTATTTGGAAGTTCAATCCAAAACGCCCAAAACGAGGCAAAAACAGGTGAGTCTTCTTTGCAGGTTTTCCTTCAACGACTCGACCTCTTTCGTCCGAGCAGGTCCGAGTACTACTGGTCTTTGGTGAATGCCATGAAAGTGGCGATCGCCGAACATGCGGGTCATTCTCAAGCGCTTCATCCGGATACCATTGTGCCTGATACTTGAAGTGTGAGAATGAGTTCAGGTGTGCCATCAGGAGCTCTATGCGAATTCCTGAAGCTGAACCAGGTGAGATGGGTCGCAGTCCTACTTATGATATGAATTTATTAGATGCGTTATTGTTACTGTATATGTTTGAATTTGTAGTTGATGCAGGACTCCTTCCAGCTGTAATTAAATAGGGAGACACCCCTGAAGACCCAAAGGTTAGTACCAAGAGAACTGTTCGGAGATCAAGCCGGGTCCTTCTCTGAAAAGGGGTCCAGGATTTCTTCCAGTATAGACTGCGAGAAGAGATGTGTCACTCTCTTCTTCAGACGGGGGCGGATTGGTCCACTTCGCAACTTCAGGAGAGTAAACTCATTCAACGCTTCCACCAACCCAGACACGCCATGTAAAGGACATATATGATTTCTATATAATTAGATACATTGGGGTGGTTAAAGGGAGATCAATGGGTACATATTCTAGTCCCATGGTGTGTTGCAGACACATCGAGTCCAGAATCCTCGGGCCCTCCATGCGGTCCGTCCGTTCCGTCCGTTCCGCCCAGGCTCCCCAGGCGTGTTGGGATTTGGGCGGCACACGTTTGTATGCGGCCTCCGTTGGGACGGATGTGGGATGGATGGGAATAACTGAGGAATGGCTCTTCGACATTGGCATCGTGTATGGAGCTTTTCAGATTTTCTTGGTGGATCCTGCCATGAATGCCACACAGATGCAGCTCACCATGTTCTCAACACCAGCGAGTCACTTCCAGGCCTGGCGCTCTAGTGGCGAGCAGAGCCCAGCTGCCCCGTTCGCCACGAACAGGTCCTTTAGTTTTCTTCGATTATGGAGGTGAAAGAATGATCATCAAGTCCATTTGTCATGATGACAGTCTGGAACCAGATAAAGGCTTCTGTCCACGAACACTTGGCAGCTGGAGATGTCAGTCTTTCTGACACCGTATACGTGAAGTCCACAAGAGATGATGGCACCTTTCTGAAGACTCAAGAAGGTGATTGTTTTTGTTAATTATTTATCCTTCCTTCCAGCCCCATCCAAAAACAAACACTTCGCGGAACTGGCACCCAACACCGCCTGGATCCATGCGTCGGATGCATGGGACTGTCAGTGTCGTCCCGTGTCCTCGTTCGCGGTGCGTTCGCATCCGACGCAGAAAGGCGACGCTGCAGAGTACATTGGACTCCTGGAGCGTGCCCTGGATGGGTCTGCAACTGGAATCGATCAGAAGCTTGACGGACTGACTTGGGTCGGCTGTCCTGGGGGCGCTGTCCGGGGCGGCCGCATCAGGGGGATGTTGGGGGAGTTGGGGGAGCAAGTGAGACCAAAATAAAAGAACACCGTGCTGCATGGCATTTAGTCAAAGAGGTGTTTTCAGGACATCACTTGCTTAGAAAGATGTCCAAAAGATCAGATATGGATATGACAGACCTGTGGAGTCTAGACAGGGAGACCCAAATCCATTCGACGGACCCAGCGGGGGACCTGCGTAGGGGGTGCTTCGCGGTGCTTCGGTGCGACCTGCGTCCGAGGCGATTCCCCCAAGCAACGACTGGCGGACGTTCCAACACCTCATTTGGACCCGAGCCTGGCTCAAACCTCTCATCCAAAACAGTGGTTGGTAGGAGACCCTCTCATGAAATTGACCAATTCTGTTTGCGTTCACTCGTTCTGGCAGGAAACCGCTCTGTGTGAGGGCTTTTATTTTTTGTGTCGGTCCATGTCGCTCCTGTCTTGGTTGAGGCAAACCCACGTGAACACGACCGAAGCAGCTAGATTCCATGCAAGGGGAGGAAGTTCCCGGGAGGCCAACGAAAGAGTCCAACGAGCTTGGTCAAGCCACGGATGGTTCTTTATCCGACAACGAAAGACTTGCAGGGTGCTTGGCAATTTTGCCCGAGCAAAGATATCAAACGACTCCTCTTTTTGTGCTAGAGTTTACGATCAACCCCCCAAATTCATGAATGCCGCTCTGCAAGACGCTGAGCTTGTACCCGAACACTTCGCGTCACATGAAATGAAGACTCCTTGGGCCTTATGGAACCGCCCAACGCGCCCCAAGCCCTGAAGGCGCCGGGACCGGGACGCGCAGCTGAGGTCCCCCCGTGGTGGATGAGACACGTGACCGAGAGAAGCGCCGGCTGAAGCGCAGCGTTGCGCTGCCCTGATCGGCCGGCGATGGCCGGGAACCCTTGGACGAAGATGACGAAGCGCCGGAGAAGGGCTTGGGCTTCTTCAGGTCGGTGTGGATTGAGGTGGCTTCGGGCATGAAAGGAATTGAGGTGAAGAAATGAAAGATGGATTGAAGCGGATTCACTCCAAACTCACCTCAATCCATCCAACATTTTTATGAACCTGCAGGAACCTGGCAGATGAAATCTGGGATCTCGCAGTTGACAAGTCTTTGGCCGGAGAACCGGTGTTTCCTCGCGTGAACACACGAAACATCAGCAGTTATGTGTGGATTGATCGCTTCTCCAGTTGCTTCTCTGTATTTCTCCAAATAAAGCTGCGATAGGAACCGTGTGCATCACCATCCTCATCATCATTTAATTCTTCGTTTTCTTCTTCTCCTTCTCCTTCTCCGTCTCCTTCTTTTTTTTTTCTTCTTCTTCTTCTTCTGCTTTGTCTTCTTCAAAGCCTTATTTTCCATGTCCTTCGTTTTGAGACCACTGCGATGCAAAGACAGGCTGCCTGTCGTGGATGAAATGTCATGAAATATCGACTGTAGAATAGGTCACATGGGCTCTGATATTCTAGTCTCTTTTGCTTTTAGGAGAGGTGTGGCAGCATATACTGTACCATACTGTACCTTTCATTCATGAGGAAACAGTTGGAATCAGCATGCCTGACTCGCCAAATCCCTGAAAGGGAGACGATCTTAGTGAGGGTTTGCTCGCGAATGCGATGCCATGTGCTTGGTGTTCCAGTTAGAGCCAAACTGAAGCTTTCCAGTTCTGATCCCCCGATGTTGCATCTGGAATCAGAATATGATTGGATTGAGGGCAGCCTTTTTGATCCTAAAAGTTCGATCCGGGAAAAACTCGTCACCCAGCAGCGGGTGACTAGACATAGCATCTCATGCTGAGTGGCAAATGCAGCAGTTCATGATAACAGACCTGGCAGCGACTCCATTGACGTTCCCTGTTGGGCGACGCCCCAAGTTTCTCGCCGGCAAAAGCCCTCCCAAAAGCGGTAGGATTCTTTCATTCTCCTTCAACTCAAAGCCCCCCCAGAGCCACAGTCTGGTTTTGATTTTGGCTTTCACTTGGGATCCAAGTGGCTCTCCATCCGAATGCGAAAAGGCCCGGCCGCCTGCGTCCGCTTGGCGCGTCCGCTTGGCGGGTTTCCTCTGCTTCGTCCACTGCGTCGCTGCCAGGAGATTGCCACGAAGACCAGTTCAGCGGAGACGGATACGGTGAACGCGCGCCTCACCACGGCCTCCAACGCCATCCAACGGCACCTCGGTCAGACATTCCGTTGCAGGAGTGGACCCGGGAAAAGGGCGGTCCACGCGGGATTGGTTGCTTTGACATCACAAAAGGTCTTTTGTGTGGGTGGGATTTAATTGGCTGTTGGAGGAATCCTTGCTCTAAACCAGGTTGTTTGGGGTCTGGAGTCTAACCCTCGATTTGAAACGTGCAAAGGGATCACAGCTTTTGTTGAAACCAGGATCGAAATAACTGACATGTCATGTATATGTTTGTTGGAAATAACGCAAAGTTGCGTTGATGAATAACACTCCCCCTCTAGAAAAAGCAATTCGGTAGGTATTAAATCAATCACACCCGGGCTGAATCCCAGCCAGAACCAATGGGAAGGGCTATGGAGGACCCTGGTCCGCCTGGCAATCCGGCAGAATGTCCCGTGACACGTGCAGAGTTTCACAGCTTTGACATTGAATGTCACATTTTGTACGTAGAATTTTGTAGACATGAATGACATGAACCATGAAAGGCTTTTTGAACACCTTTGCATGTCCCTTGCAATGTTCACGGGGGAACTTTATATCCGAGCATACTCTAGTCCACTTTAGAGCACCCTTGCAATGTGCTGTTTTGTTCCAATGCCCACCCAGTCAGTGGATAAGCTTTAACATCCTTCAACCCTTCTTTACGGAGATTCGTTCCATTAAATGATGAGCAGATGGACCGATGAATCGCAAAGATGATGTTCCAAACCTCAGACTGCACCTCTTCATGGCCCATGGACTCTCCCTGCGCCATCGCAGTCGACGCCGACAGACCGGAACCGCTCCAGGCTGGAGACCCTGGCCACGACGAAAGTCTCCTCGGAGACCTTCGAACGGCTCCAGGCCGTGAAAGCGCTCCGTTCGCTCGGTCCGAGCGCTCGGTTGGGTGGGGGAGCGAAGCGGAGAGCGACGCGTGGGGCGGCCCGGAGTTGGAACTCCAGCTACTGTCCTTTTGCGTGCATGAAACCTGGGATGAAGCCCACGCGACGTGCAACATGTGAGACATTCCCAGCTGTTGCAGGTCAATCAGCTCGGATGGAAAGCCTCAAAAGATTGTTTTTGATTGCCTCCTCAAACCATAAAATCCTTGTGCGTGCCATGCTCTTTCGAGACTCTGACATAGTCGAGGCACAAAAGGGGGCCAGTCAGCTGGGGATGTGATTTGGTTGATCTTAGGCTTTGCCGTGCATATGTTGATCGAAGTGACTACAATGTCATGTCACAGACTTTGCCATCACAACACGTCACAATGGGAACCCCAGTTGGCGTTGAGCGGGTTGCCTAGTCAGATACTGTACATCTCCCAGTAGAAGAGATGGGTACAGTCGTCCAGTAGAAGAGACATGCTGTTGTGGTTTGAGCTCCTGCAGTGGCACTGGAATCAAGCTTCATGGAGAATCACTCACAATAATTATATCGCCGAAAAGACAATTAGGAGGAGGAGGAGGAGAACTCTCAATTTCAACCAGATAGCTGCTGAAGTATATTCATATATTGTATGATATTGTCTATGTCAATTTTCTGGTACGGAATTGCGTCTTGGCCGTCCGACAGGCTCGCATTGACACGATGGAGGCTTGGAGTCATACGTGTGACGCCCCGTAACATGTGTTGTTGTTGTTGTTGTTGTTGTTGTGTCATAGGGCGCTAGTAGGTTGGAGGCCAACTGATTTCGCTTCCCGACAGGGGTTTGACCGGGTCGGTCTCAAGTCTCACGGTCTCATGTCTCAAGTCTCTTTGGATGTCTGCAGGGTTTGACCGGGTGATCAGGACACAATTGAACGCTTTCCGGAAGTAAATCTGATCAATTCCTCAGAATCCTTGGCACCAAATCTGCACTTTGAGTTTAGTTTTGGCCACCCTGCAAACAACAGGGCGGTGATCCAAAGGATGTTACTGAGCATCAATTGCCAGAACCCAAATGCTTTTGTACACCTCTGATGGATATACATCCTTGAGCGCCTCAATTAAAGTTATGGAGGCTTGTGAGATGAAATGCGAGAAAGATCTGGTTGGAAACATGTGTGTTTTAATAGGAAACACACCTTAACCGTTTGGGGATATGGGCACTGACCTCCAACCGATAGGCCGTTTGAAATAGGACAAATATCCTTCGAAGCCAAAACTGAACAGGTCTCGGTCATCAGGAAGGCGGACAGTGAGACCTTGGGAAAGCTATCACAAGCGGTGACTGAGCAGGACCGGGGACAGGAACGGGCAACCTTGGGTGGCTATCCAGAAAGAGGACAACGTGCCAGGTGGTTTCGCAGTCGCAAGTCCATAGCAGCCTGCAGACTGCAGCAAGATTTGGCACAGTTTTGGAGCGATTCTTCGACTTGCTTGGTGGTGTCACATGTTCTTTGGAATTTGCAACATGTGCTACAACATCATCAATTTGGGACATGTATTCCTTAGTATTTTTGCAACAAGATTTGGTGATTTAGATGGATTTCGGTATCGGTATCGGTATCAGCTTTCTTCAGTGGTGATAAAGGTGAATGTAATCAAGTGGGGAATCGGTGGGATCATGTTCGAAGTTCCAATGCCCTACTTGTCGCCGGCAAGATGCCAAGAGTGTGCATTGTTTGGCGGAAGTGTGAAGAAGTTGCATTAGATGCCAGTACCATCTATATAGTACTTATAGCTTACATATTCAGACTTTCAGTTGTTGATTCCACTGAATCCCAGTTGTTTGCCTTTTCCGAACGGTGAACAGATGCATGGCTTGTCCGAAGCCCTGCGTTGTTCAAAACCCCATGCAGGATGACACCTCCTGGTGTTGCAATAAAAGTGAGTCTTTCCGCCTTAAACTGAAGAGATCAATCACAACATATATAACAACAAATTACCCAAAACAATGGCATCCACGACCCTCAAAAGATAAGCTCGATTCCACCACGTGGTCGAACCGCGCGCGGGTCGACGTGTTGGGCCAGGCGCGACAGCTGGAGTCTGTGTCCAGCCAAGTTCGAGACCAGCATGGCCGTGTCGAGGCGGCGACGGAAGGATCCGTGGAAGCCATGTGATGTACTGGAAGAGGTGTGTGGTGGTTTCGTGATCGCTTGGTGTTGGTGTTGGTTAGCTGGGCAGTAGCCTTTCTGATTTCTGTGAGAGTTCTCTTTTTGCCGAAAGCATGACGCGATCTGTGCAGATTGGAGCAGGATTCAGGATATATTTATAAAATAGGATTCGTGGGTTTGTGCATGTTTGTATATGATCAGCAGGTAGCCGATATTTGCAGGCTCCTTGGTCAGACGAGCATCTTGTCTCATGTGTGCCATGAAAATGGTCTGAACACTCTTGGGTCCGTAGTGAATGAAATGCGCCATGGATTTCGACGGGAACTTTTACACCACCCGCATCAACCCACCGTAGGGTGGCCTGAACCAAGGATAGGATGACCCTCCTTCCGCCCAGGAGTGTTGACCATTCAGCAGACTCGTCCCTTGTGTTCGCCAGGTCATTGAAGGTCGCACGGAGACATTGAAAGACCAGCTCTTGCAAAAGGCCGAAGCCAATAATGCCACCATCTCAGCAGACGAAACAGGTTGATCGCACGCAGGGTTGCTGTGATTCTTTTGGAATCCACTGCCTGCGAGTGACCCACATGGACGTCTACGAAACCAACGTGGAACATCATGGAACTCTGAGAAGAACGACCTGTGGGTTGGACCGTTTTCAACAAAAATCTGTGTGTTAAAATGGGGAGACCGTCGAGACCTGAGTTTTCCCAAAGACCCTTGGAAGGTTACTATATAGTAGCTTCTTGTTACTAATAGCGACGGCCTCCAACCTACTAGCGATGGCCCCCACCGAATAGCGTCCTTGCTCCGAGTAGCTGCATCTTTTCTCGAGTCTACCCAGCCAGAAACTAGGGAATCTCAACCAGAAGCTACGAGTTCCGGGGCTCCAACTGACAAGCCATCGCGACAGAACCGAGTCCGGAGCCATTTCGGACCGCCGAACCGAACGGGGAGCTGGCTCCGGTCGAGGTCTACACGTCCGACGGAGTCGATGGGATGCTGCGAGGCTTCTACAGTCCGGCACCCCGGATGTACAGCCCGTGTTTAAAGCAACGGTTTCTTGAAAGGCCCGCTGTTGGCAAAGAACCCTTTCTTTTTTCTTGCGCCCCAAGCAATTTCTGTTTGCAGGCTGTGGGCTCTCTCAATTGTCCAGCACCATCAATAGGAAAGACTAGGATAGATGTTTGGATATTATGTAAAGTTTCCGCATTTTGGCACGCTTGATAGATGAAAAGGCGGAAATGATGTAGTTGGAAGATGTAGCTATGATGTAGCTACATATATATATATATATATCAACTCGTGACTTTGTATAAACGCCACCTCTTTTGGGAAGAGCGGCATTCCTCGCAGAGCGCGACCGGCTGGCTCAGATCGAGAAGAGATGGATGCATTGCTGCGAGGCCCTCAGTTGCTCTGTACGGAGCATCCTCAGTCCGGCCTCTTTCAGGGCTAGAAGCTCTGAAGATTGGAGAAATCGGGGAGGTAGCTTCAAAGAGAATGTGTTCTAAACATGTTCTAGCACAAGAAGTTGGAAGAGTCTGACAATTCTCCGAATGTTTTCGCTTCCAATGTTGTAAACAGTGTTGACAACTCCCACATCAATCCTGCTTGCAGGCCCAAAATGCCCAAAATCATAATCCAGATTCATCAGAGTTCTGTTCTTTTGCATCAACTTCAGGCCCTTGTTTCACCGGTGTCCACTCCACACGCACCCATTTGGGATGCGAAAACTCCGCGAACTCCGCGAACCGGCACGGCTTTGACTCTTTCTTCATGGTGCAGCGAGTACCGTGAGGTCACGCATTTGGTGGCGCTTGGGCGATGTGGGAAAAGCGCCTACGACCTCCTCTGGGCCAAGACCACCCACGAGGCGCAGTTGGGAGCGGGTTCGTCAGTGCGCAGAGGATTTCTCTGCGCAGGGGCGAGTGGAGAGGGAAAGGGAACTGAAACAGATTGGAAGCCAAAACGACTTGTTAAACTCAGGTGTTTTGTTTGAACATGTGTTTGAATTCCATTCTGCATTCACTGCTTCCCAGGCAGGAGGTAAGCGAAGGATATGTTTGGTTCGATTTGATTGTCATGGGTAGAGAGGTGTTTTGAGATACTTTGTTTGTTTCTGCAAAAAGGCATCTCAGCCATGCTGCAAGCGCTCCGTCTAAATTGTAGAATGTCTTGGCCGCACGCCCTTTCTGAGTGACTTGAGAGATGCTGCCGTGAAAATATGTGAAGAGCACTCCATGCAGATGTTGATACATGTGGGTTCACTGCAGGTTGTTTTCTCAACTCAAGATGCGAGGGACGACTGGACGCTGTTTTTTTTGCCCCCCCAAAGAAACCATATTTTGACACGGACCAAGGATAGTAACCAGCACCGTTCAGTGATAGCAGTAGTGCGACCCACCCTATTTGAGGTACGTTTGCTGAAAGACTGAAAGATCCCACCTGGTACCTGAAGCTTTCTGGATTTCAATTAAGATCCTTAAGCAAATGAACCCCTTGGCCGTGCTCGGGAGCAGCTTCTCTGCAGGTGAGGCAGAGAAGATGCAGACCAAGGCGTGCACTGAGTGGAGGGAGAAGGCTTGATCCAGAGCCGTCTATCAACAAGCAATCCGTTATTGCTGAAGATATTTCTTCGAAACATATTGTAATGTGAGTGAGATTCGTAAGAATAAGCGGGGTAACGCGTTGTTTGGGCGGCAAGGAAGGATTTTTTGGTACTTGTATACTGTAAATAATGCTCTCTTCTGCAGTTTGCTCTATTTGCTTTCAGTATTCTTTATTGTTGCTTCCACTTTCTATCATTCTGCTTTCATTTGCTTTCATGTGGCTTTCATGTGGCTTTCATTTGCTTCCATGGTGCTTTCATTCTGCTTTCATTCTGCTTTTTTTTGCTTCCACTTTGCTTCCATTTTGCTTTCATTCTGCTTTTTGTTGCTTTCATTCCAAAGCAAGCCAGGAGGCAGAATAGGAGAGGGTCTAGTGACTAGTAGTGGACCTCCCAAGGGTCTTGTGGATCCTGGGCACTTGGATCCGGGGCACCAGGGGAAGCTGTTCATAAGGCATACGAGTTGGATTTGCAAGGCTGCAAGACGTGTTTGGATTCATCAGACACTGGTTTTGGCATCCACAACGTGGACACAAAGCGATGGAAGCATCATTTATGGCTGCTTTCGACTTGGACACCGGCTGCATAGTTCCGACTGAGTTATGTCTTTGATGTTGAATGGCGGCATTGATTGAAGGTGTTGCTCCTTCAGTTTGGATCTTCGATTCTGCAAAGGACCTTGACTAGTGTAAATAGGTTGAAGTCAGGAATTGTTTCATTGGGTCAATCGGAATCAAAGAAAAAAACCTAGCCTTTCATCCCACTGATACAGATATTGAAACACGTGTTCATGACATCTCCAAACACGCGTTTTTCACGTGTTCGATTGGTGTACACGTCGCATACGGTTCTCAACCCTCAGACTGCGGTCACTCCGCAGACTGCGTTCCGAAAGTCACTTTGAATCTGAAAGGCCATGTACCCATCCTTTTTAAGAAGAAGGTGCGACAACTCTGAGGGATTCGAAGGTCAACTAGGGACAGATTTGGATCGCGTGGACCCCCATGGAGTGGACTGTCGACTTGGCCTTTTGAATTTGATCTTTGGCAGGTGCCGCTGCTTGAGGCCGCAAGACGCGGCGTCAGGTCACGCCGGACTTTCGAACAAAAGCGAAAGTGCTTTGGTTGTTCCACCAGTCAACATTGGTGAGGTTCAAGAGAGAGACCACTATAGCCGCTAATCCTATTTTGGCATGGCATTCTTCCTTTTTAGCCAGTACCGAGCATAGCGCAAAGGAGCGAATGGAGATCCACTACCCCTATTTCGAGTGTGGCCTAGATCTGACTATTCATGAACGGTACCAGAACATGCCAGAGTTCTAGGATAGCAGGCTCGCCCCTGCAATAATTGAGCAATCGCCATTCCAAGTGGTTGGTGAGGTGGTTCACTTGCTTGGTCTTCTTCCATTTTTCCCAGAGCATAATATAAGGATCTTGCCAACAATGGTCCACCAAATAGTTCTTTCACTGCAGTATTTCAGCACTAAGGGCTCTCCACTTGCAGACCCGCAACTGTGGGCACAGATGGTGGGACAGACCTCTGCATTCGGCGCGGCATGAAAGGAGCTAAAGTAGTTCGTCCCCTTTCACACCATCCTTGGCTTTCAATGCGAGTGTGAGGAGAGTAAGTAACTTCACGCGTCCGTCACAAGAACTGCCCGGAAGGTGGTGCAGGATTTCAAATATGGCTAACACGATTTTACAATCTTTAGCCAAGTCAACTGTCCTGCATTTGAGATTCTCAATTTCTGTGTTTACTGAGGTGGTTGCCTGACATCAATTTCACGATGGTTTCAAGATTCTGGGCTTGTCTCAGAATTTATGACAGTAAACATTATTCAACATGCAAGACTTGGGGTATGTGGTGACTGTGCCTGGCAAGGTAGACTGGTTTTATACATGATCGCTGTATTCTTCAGAATGACAAATGTTTTGGTACCTTCTGAACATGCCATGGTCACCATGGTCATACCGGGCATACCTCACCCTCGGCCAATTCAGCACGGGAAGGTCCAACGATCAGTGAGATTTCACTTGGCCGACTTGGCGTATCGATCGTTCCGGAGCGGAGCTGCTCCGCCGTTTGAGGCGGTGCTCCCCAGGTAGAAGTATGAGACGTGATGGCAGAAGTCATGTACTATCGAAGATCAATCTGGGCAGTGAGTGCTTCCATCAATGATACTTCTTGAAGTGGTACAAGGTCTCTGCGACCTTTGTATTGAAGGTTCATTTAGGTGGTCTCAAGTGTCCCTAAAAATTTAGGAACCAAATTATTAGTGCGAGCGCGATTCTTCAGAGAAGCTCCCCCCCCGCCTCAGGCTGGGGGAGTTTCTTTGAAGAAGGTCCTAGGTAGTAGCGTCCTACTTAATGGCTACTGTAGCTACCTCTTCTAGCGGCCTATCCTTCAAACTTCCCGGTCTTAAAGAAACAAGCATTCTTGAAGTGGTGCAAGGTCTCCGTGAGAAGAAAAGTCGTCCGGACACATCGAACCGCTACTCTGTGCTATCCGTGCTACACGATGCGACGCACGGCTGACAAATGGGACCGACCACTGTCGGTAGCTTGGTTTGTTTCGGGTGGGGTGACTAGGTGACTACAGCCTGGCGAGACACGTTCACATTCTAATCAAAACAGGACGTCTACACATGATTTTAAGTTAAGATTGTGGTGGGTATGGTCGTGGTGTTTAGTGTATTCTCCATTGGAGAGAGTGGGGCAGGTTTAGATTGATTGCTCGTGATTTTTTACATGCATGCAGGCCTGAACCATGCTGCAATTCCTTGTGTGCATGAGGGGCGTGTGCCACACAACGACAAGGATGCATCAGACCGTGGGGGGAGGATGCTTTTCGTGGCATCAGCCCCATTCCGCTGTCAGGTATGGGCCAACATCGACATTGGTTTTTGCCTCCAACCGAATTAGCGATGGCCTCCAACCTAATTGCGAGGGCCTCCAAGCTAGATAGCGATGGGTGCCTGCAGTTTTTTTTGGGCAAAGCTAGAGGTTTGGTGCCAAAGCTGCGCCTGACTTCAGCTTCGGCATGGCCTAACTTCAGCTTCTTATGCGGTCGCAGCAAATCCTTCGAAGCATGTCCTACGCAAATTGGTTGGTGGATGAGTGCCGAAGAACCCAGGGTCATTTCGGAGAGATTTGGAGATTCCCTCACTGGCCTTATGACCAGAAAAGTGCTACATTAGACAATGTAACCATACAGAGAACTTGGCAGAGAACGAATTGGAACACGCCGATCATGATATCGACTCGACGATTCTGCTTAACAAGACAACCATAGCAACAAGAATGCCAACAGCAATGAAGGTCAACATCTAGCCCAGGAGAGAAGGTCCTCTTCAAAATACCATCAGAGAATCAGAGGATCAGGGTGATTGGAACATTCCTGAATCGTTTGAATCCGCTTTCTTGGCTCCAGCCCCCCCGGTTACCGTTCTTCTCGGTGGCCTTCCCAATGGGGAGCATCCGGTGGCGGCCCGAGGGAGATACACGATCTTGTTTTGTTAATAGCAATGGCCTCCAACCTAATAACACAGCTGACCTTTGATCCGTTGAGTGATTTCCCAACCTCAAGACATCTTAAGATCCTATAGAATATTTTTCATAATCAAAACCAATAGGAAACCCATCCCTGCCCACCATCTCAAGACATCTCAAGACCCCATTCAAGACATTTGCAAACTATGGACCCCATTCACGTATCGCTCACGGCGATACCTCCAATTTGGGTTGTCAGGGATTTTCGGATTTGGGGCTCAATTACCCCGGAAGTGATGCACATGTCAATTCACTTTGCCCCCATCCAAGTTAGTGTTCAGGGCTGGGCGACGGCCCAAGTGTTTGGAAGGGTATTCGACACATTTCGACACATTTTCTCATGGTAGTTGGTGTTTCCTTTTGCAACGTTTTGTCGAACCTTTTCCCCAGGGTTTTCCCATGTTTTCCCTATGGACAGTTTCAATCACCAGAAGTTTGCAGGTGGGCGGAGGCAGTCTCGACATGTTTCTTCAGCTCTCCTGGTGATAGGTGACTGGAAGGTCGAAGTCCCTGTAACAGTAAGGTCGAAGTCCCTGCTCATTTCTTCATTGCCTGAGGTAGAGAATTCTTTGCGGGAGGCTCAGGTCGAGTGGATGGGGAGTCCGTCCGAAAAGCATGGCAGACAGGCCAAACTCGATGGAGGAAGTTCGGTTTCATGTTGGTGAAAGAACTTCTGCCAAATAGTTTCGGTATTCAAAAGGTATTCAAAGGTTTCATAATGTATTTTCAGTCGAAGAAGCAGCCACAGGCTCGTTCTTCCCGACAGGCGTATGAACCAGAGGACCACCCACGCCTATGATTTTTTGGCACATGGGTTACGAGGCCACTCTGTCAGTGCACTGTTAGTGCACTGACTGGATCCTCCACCCATCGTCCTCAGGTCAAGGTTCCCTCCTCGGTGGCGCTTCGTGTCCCAAAGCGCTGCCCTGCTTGCACAGTCCTCAGTAGAGATGGATGGTGGTGGAGGTCGAAAAAATCGCTGGGTCCTGGGTGGGAAGTTGAAGATGTCCGAGCTGGGTTCAACTGAACATTTGGATTTAAAGCAATTATAGAGGATACCAATCTGTCGGAATTGGTGCGTCGTCGTCGTCGTCGTCGTCGTCGTCGTCGTCGTCGTCGTCGTCG